CTTCCCGTGAGACATGGGCTCCTCGCCCCGGGCCGGCCCCAGCCAAACAGGCGGGGACAGGCCTCCCTGAGGGCCCCGCCACACCTTCGGGCGACATCGTTGGGCCCTTGTAGCCGCCTGGCTCTTGGTTTCGAGCCGGACGCGAGCTGTCATGGCGAGGGTGCGGCTTTATGGCGCAGTGCCTGGGGGCAGGTGTGCTGCAGGCAAGGGGCACAGCGGCTTCAGGCCGGCCTTACTGCCAGCCCCTCGTGATGAGGGCACCGATCGGGGCTCTCACTGATTAAAACAAGTTAAAATCAAGCAAACAGGGACAGGAGTGAGAGGCATGGGTTCAAAAGGAGCTCACCAAGGGGAGACGCCGAGGAGAACACGTGGGACAGCAGCACCTGCTGGCCCTCGAATGAGTCCAGGGAGCAGACCAGGGACAGGGAAGTGGTCTCGCAGGTCCCAAGGGCCCTCTTGGCCAGAGTCTCTTTCTTGGGCAGATCACGAGCTAGGCTAGCGCCAGGAGGAGGTTGACCCAGAGGTCCTAGGATTTGGTGGCATCGCAGATGGGTAGCGGGTAGATGAAAAGGTGCAGCCAGAACCTCAGCAGGAGGCAGCAAAGGAGTTACAGCCTGGCATGCTCCAGGCACCATCTGGTGTGCTTTGCTCCGTGTTCCCCCTCATGAACATATGACCCACATGCCCATCCCCGTTTTATTTTTATTTGTCCCAAGGAATTAGCAAGTGTTATGCCCTTAGTGGCCACTATCACCAAGGGGTGCTTATAGCTCTACTCAGTGGGCTTTGGCCTGCTACCCCAAATGGCATATCAAAAGGCCTGGCGCTCTCCAGGGAGGCATGCCCCAGGGTCTCCCTCTGCTCCCAAAGGGGCAGGAGTCAGGGACATCCCTAAACCACACCAGATCCCTGCTGTAACACAGCTGGAAGGGCAAACAACACCAATTAGCCCTAATTGTCCCAAGGGAAAAGATCTTGTGCTCTGTGGGGGAGAATCAGTTGCCTGTTTTTAGCATTTGAATACCACATTATCTCTCTAGCTAGCACTTTACTACGGCTCTTGGAGTGGGTCTGAGCCAGGGACACCTTTAAAACATTTTTAATGCTTTGTGGCTGCCATCAGCTGACTATTCTCTGATACACTTTGCCTCTTTTGGTTGCCTGTGTCTTCCCCTTCTTTGGCTACCCTCTACCTGACTGCCAGTGTAATCAGCACTAAATACATTGTTTTCATAATTAATGCTTGTGATATGACTTGCTTTGTAATTAATTGCCAGTATTGCTCTTTCCTCCCTAATCAAAGCCGTAATTAATTGTATAACTATATATCTGCTTAATTAATTCTCCTCACATTGCTGTTTTTCTTTACAGTATGTTAAAAACTAGGAGTCTAAGAGTAGGGTCTCCTTTAACTAGGCTTGTTTTCAAAAGTGCCATTCACTTCAAGCCTGTTTAATGCTTGCTTCACCATTCCCTTTGCAAATTTCTGTGGTCCTCACCATTCTCTCTTCCCTCATCCTAAATTGTTGCAGAAGGAAACTAATAGGGAAACTGATTGGCTTCTTCTAGGTACCCTTCTCCCTTCATTTTCCCTTTATGCAGCTTATTTTACCTTTTCGCAGCGTGCTTCCATTACGTGCTACTCAACTTTTTCCTGACCTTCCAGTAAATCTAAATTCCCAGTGACAGAAATTTAAACATGTTTCTGTTTTATAGTTTCATAGGTTCATATGAAACTATAGGGTCAGAAGGGACCTGAGCAGATCATCAAGTTTGACCCCCTGCCATGGCAGGAACGACCCCAGCAAGGTGATTGTCTAGCCTTGTCTTAAAGACCCCCAGGGTAGGAGCCAGTACCACTTCGCTTGGAAGTTGGTTCCAGATCCTAGCCGCCGTGACTGTGAAGTAGCGCCTCCTGATGTCTAATCTGAATTTACCCTCTGCCATCTTGTTATTTGTAGTCACTCCTGGTAGTGCTTGGGGAAACAGGGACTCTCCCAATGCCTGCTGGTCCCCTCTGACTAGTTTGTAACAGGCCGCTAGATCCCCCCTCAGCCTTCTCTTACGGAGGCTGAACAGGTTCAGGTTCAGTAGCCTGTCCTCGTAGGGCCTGCCCTGCTGTCCCCTGATCATGCGAGTGGCCCTCCTCTGGACCCTCTCCATATTGTCCACATCCCTCTTGAAGTGCGGCGCCCAGAACTGGACACAGTACTCCAGCTGCGGCCTGACCAGTGTCGCATAGAGGGGGAGTATCACTTCCCTGCACCTGCTTGAGATGCATCTGTGGATGCATGACAAGGTGCGGTTGGCCTTCCTGACTGCATCCCCACACTGCCTGCCCATATTCATCTTAGCATCAATGATGACTCCAAGATCCTTTTCTGCCTCTGCACTGATGAGAAGGGAGTTCCCCAGCCTGTAGGTATGGTGCTGGTTCTTCCTGCCCTGGTGCATCACCTTGCACTTGTCAGTGTTGAATCCCATCCTATTCTCGTCTGCCCACCCCTGTAACTTGTCTAGGTCCGAGTTGGAGTTCTCATGATGGTCCAGGAAACGAACGAGAGGCAAGTGATACCTTTTATTAAACCAACTTTATAGCTGGGAAAGATGTTGGACAAGCTTTTGGGCATCAAGTGTCCTTCCTCAAGTTAATTTAGGGACCCGAGGAAGGACACTTGATACCAGAAAGCTTATCCAACAGCTCTCCCAACTATACTGTTGCTCGATTTAAGATAGAAATGCAAGACTTTTTACTATTTTAATGCATAATTGTTTTTCTTTTAAATTTATTCCAAGGGCTGCTTAAAAAAACGAAGGAAAAATAATATTTAGCAAAACTCCTAAAATTAAAAAAAATCCTCCTTATGTCCCAGCAAAATGATATAATACATGTGATGCTGTAGCACAGCATTGCATCAGAAAAAACATTTTGCTCTGATATTTTCTTAAAGGCCAAACACAAGCAGGAATAAATTTAGATTTTATTTATTCATTCATTTATTTATTTTTGCCCTGTCCCCTGCAGCCTCTGGTCCCCACCCTGCCATGCCTTTGCTTCCTGCTGCTTACCTTCCCTGGGTATCTCCAGCTCCTGCTCGGGCCTGCTCCTGTTAACAGGAGGTGGCATAGCACAGAGCTCCATCCTGGCTATGTAGCTGTAACAGCAGCTCTTGCTCTAGCTCTAGGGCTGAAGCTGCTGCAGCTGTAACAGCTGTTGTGTGGGGCCAGAGTCAGCATGTGCTCCATGCCCCCAGCTAGACTGGACCCCAACAGGAGTTGGTGCTGCAAGGCCGGGGGGCAGGCACCATGGGGAGAAGTAGGTGGTGGGGCAGGTTAGAGGGGGACAGGTGGGAGAGCTGCAAGTTGTGGGGCAGGCAGCAGGGGTGCAGGCATTTCAGGGACAGGTGTGGGGAGTGCAGGCACTCCTGCCGGGGCCTGCAGGCACAGGCATCACAGGGGTAGGCAGCTAAGGAGTAAGTGGTAAGAGGGACAGGCAGCAAGGGACAGGAGTCAGGCCATTAGAGTCCCTTGCTACAGCCAGGGTACAGGGTGAGGGGGAATTTAAGACAACTCTCCCAAAATCAATTTTAGACCTAGAAAATTATAACATTTACATATTTTCTGTGTGTAGAATCTAATTATTGCGGGGTCATCTTTAAATTCAGAGTCCTTTTGGATTTGGGTACATATGACACTCATGACATTTCAAAAATAACCCTAAATTCTTCCCATTGAAAGAAAAATACTGGGTGGTCATCTTTGTCCATTAAAAAGCAATAGAATGTGTTAATGTTTATTTTAACTTGTTGAATGCAGAATTCTTTATTCAACATCAACTCATATTAGGGTACAGTATTACCTCTTAAATCTGGCATGCTCGGGACTGTAAGTAAAGTGCATGGAGCAGGGGTGAAGGGAGGGGTAGCAGGGGCCGGTCACTGCCTGACCAGCTGGATGTGGAGAGGGAAGCTTGCACGCAGCAACTGCTGCCACATCCACCAGTCTGCGCTGCCGCTTCACATGCATCCATAGCTCTGGGACCAGCTGCTGAAGTGCCGGCTTTCTGAGAATTCCAAATTTTTAAAACCCAGATTTATGAGGTTACTGTACCACTCTTTCCAAATATTAGTAACCTGTCCTGCCCCACTCTATGAAGTTTCCCATATGTGTTGGATGAACTGTGCATATTTTCAGACTCTGCAGCAGTATGTTTAACATAACAGAGTCACTGGGATTACTATACTTTTTTTGCTCATCAAACAAAAACAACTTTATAGCTTTAATTTTTTAATGATCACCTCTGGATTACACAGTCCAAGGACTTCTTTCAAATGATTTATGTTTTAATTAAAAGCCTTTTTTTATATTGTAGGTAAAAGAGCCTCCTGAGATTAGTTTAGTTCTGTATCCTCAAGGATTGACTGGTAATAAAGAAAGCTATGTCAAAGTTGATTTGTGTGTCAAATGCCCACAGACATATCCTGATATGTGAGTAAACAACAAAGTATATGCTTTTCTTTATTTTCTCCTTGATAAAATTAAAATTCAAAGGTATATTATCTAGGGGGGCAACAATAGAGATTTTTTGGGCCGATACTGATGGCCGATATTTAAGGGTCCATATCAGCTGATACCGATCCAATTCCGATATGCAGCTGGGCAGCTTGGAGACCAGCTTGGGGCTGCTAAGTCTGGTGTGGAGGAAGGTGTAGGGGGGGACAGATTGAGGCCCTGGCGATGAAGGAGGGAATGGGGCTGGGGCAGATGCTACTCAGCCAGGGTGGGGTGGGGTGTGCAACAGAGCCATGAGCGGCTCCTCCAGCGGCAGTGGCGGGGGGGCCATTTCTGCTGCTGCATGCTTCCTGGGAGGGCATGGGGAGCGTGTGCCCCCAGATCTGCATGGGGTGAGGGTGGGCTGCTGCTGCGGGCTGGAGCTGGGGGGCTCGGCCAGGCTGTGCTTGAGGCGAACAGTGGCAGTGCTTGGAGGAGGCTACAGGTAGTGCTGCAGTCACCCCAAAATTTGCCATGGCCCCTCCCCCCCACCATAGCTCCCTTCCAGCACCACTGCCACCTGCCCCAAGCACAGTTCCGGCCCAACCTCCCACCAGGAATGGCACCACCCCTGGTGACATCCAGCCCCACCCCATCCCACGTGCAGATCTGGGGGTACCCCACCATGCCCTCCCCAGGTATATGCAGCAATGGGA